GTACCTAATGGTTGCGGCTTCCGATTAATCGTTCGTGATGAGTGCAAAATGGATCTTGCGCCCAAGAAAATCCGATACGCATCCGCCAATGCTACGAAGCCGTTGTCTGCCTAAACGCGCAAACTTTTTCCTTCAACTCAAGGCAGTCAGATGCGAGGGAGTGATGAATTAGGCTGTAAAACCCGGTGGTCTTGGCGAAATAATTTAACCATAGCAGGATTGTCTAATTTGAACATGTGTACATAAACGTATTCTGTATGCTGAAATGACAGCGAGATTTACAGGTTAAATTCTATCGAAATGCTTGTAATTACGTCGCGCGCTTTACGACTGTGAAGTCCTTCATATATGGATGGGTAGCTACTGAATAGAGTGCAGTTCTATATCCACCATTTATTGTCCTGTTTTGATGGCAGGTTTTTTACCTATTAATAAAGGGTTGATACATTTTTATTTAATATAAAAGGCTTAGAATGTTTTCTGTTCTGTTCGTTCCCTATCTGTTTGTTTGAGCGATATTTTGCATTTTACGACATAGCCCGACGTATGCTTCGATTTATTTTGTTTGCCAGAGACGGTTCGTCGACTCCTTATGTTCAGCGCTTCGTGCTTGATGACTAATGGAAAAGAGATTGACGCTACAGGCAAGATGATTTGCATGCAACACAAATAGTTATTATTCACTCGGTATTCCATCATGTTGATCTATATATGATAAGACCAATTATCTGCTGTATTTTGATGTCGTGTATGGAGTGAATTGTGCTTGCTTGAAGTACTACTAGCCATGTAAATGGAATAACACGAGTAGTGTATTTTGTTAAAACAAACAGTCAAAAGTTGCACATACCGATTATCACATTGAACAGGCAGCTATGCGTTGGCCCAAGGCGAATTGCAGCCCTATGAAGCCCTGGCATCAGATACCATATCCTCATCTGTTCTGGTATGATTAAGCAAGAACACCGTCTCTGTTCCTTTTGTTGCTCAGCAATAGCAATTTTTTTCGTTTCTCAGCTGGTTGCACTGAAGCAACGTGTGATTATATCTTTGCTCAAAAGAATTGACGGTTAAGGCAGGTTTTGTATTTTTCGAGATTCGAACCGGCATGTCCGGAGATCAAAGTCGAGCTCTCTGTTTCTTTGTCACTTTCCCATAGCGTGCGGGAAAATTTTGTCTGATCCTTTACCATGTTCTGCTGACTGCTTGCTCAAGGTTCGCTAATTACAGAAGCAGGAAGCGACCGAATTTTAGGTTCTTGGTAATCTGATAGTGTTTGGTCAAACTTAGCGATCATCGAGGCAAGTGGTAGACGACAAACTATTATTTTGTATTCTATTAATGGAATGGTTGTGTCTTTCCTGTACTTTTAGGATTATTCGTTTGAATACCAATGAGGAAACAAAAATAATTTCCAATCGTCGATTATTATTGCATGAGAAAAACGAGAAAACAAGATGGAATTAAATACTATTAGCAACTTTAACGGTTTGAAACCTCTTTTATCGATTGTTAGTGGTGAAAAACATATCATTTAAGGTCCGCGTAATGGGCCCTTCTACAATCCATATTTTTTATTTGCGCCCATGCTGTTAAGCAACTGATACAGCGCCGGGATCGCGGATGAAAGTCTACGAGTTAGATTCTCGGCTAGTTGATTCGTGCCTCATCCTTCCGCACATGGATGCATTACCTTGGAAGACAATAGGAGACTGAATCTTTTCACGTAAATGCAGGTTCTCTCTACACGGATAGGCACTCTTGATTGATAGTATTAGATTGTAGGTGAACGTTAAGTTTGTTAACCGTTATATACGAGATGCGAATGCCTGTATTTCTATGGGTTCTTTTCCTCCATTTATTATGTGCTTACTTTTACTTATTTGGCTATACTTTTCAAGACAATGCATATCAGTAAACGAATGCAGCAATATGCTGTTCGTCTGGAAGAAATGTTGCAACAATTTGTAGGCATAAATTACACTGACTTCAAAATAAAACTGAAACCAGCACGGAAGATGCTTAGCTTCGAACGGTTCTAGCATGTTTCAAAAGTGTTATCGGCGTTGAAACCACGTGCAGCTGTAAAATCCGTACTAAATCTGTTGTCCTCTTGACCATAGTCCACTGACAGCTGGTTTGGCAACTGTCTCCATAGCCGTTCCTCGTTCAACGATGTTCCCCTCTCCGTGTCTGCCTTCATAATAGATCGCGTTAAAAATTTATGAGTGAATCTGTGACTCAGATTTGATGTGATCTGCTTTCGGTTGCTTTAAAATTTGTTTATACTGTACGTTGTCGTTCTTTGCTGCATCGCATTTCGCTGTTATCGAATATTATTATGAAGTCGTTTGTTTTCATCAGATCTGATGACTCTTCTCCGACTCCCATCTTCGCCGTTTCTTTGTTTCGTGCGAACGGCAAAACGTCGAGGCGTAAAAGCGCAACGTCTGATGAAAGAAAAGAGGCAGACTGGTGGTGCCGAAGGGAAGAAGGTAGAACAGGTGAAGTCGAAGGGGAGGAGTTTTCGCTCTAGAAGGGACGCTACGCAGTAAGTTCAGAGTTCTAAAAAATAGTTTTCAGCTGATACTTCTT